TAAATTTATCTGTGCTCTCATTGTAGTACTTTTTGAAAGTACTACTTTACCTTGTAAACGTCCACCAAAATGTCTAAATTCATAAGTCTTCCAGATGTGACAGCTCATTCTATGTCTCATAAAACAAGTTTCTTATCTTTGAATAAGGAACACTTGACAATATAAACTAACTATCCCAATTGAAAGACTAGATCAGACAACAGAATTTTTCTTTTTCTTTTTCTTTTCTTTTTTTTTTTTTTTTTTTGTACTGGGGATCAAACTCACGACCTCACAACCTCGCGATTGCCAGGCAGGCGCTTAAGCCACTGAGCTAAATCCCCAGCTGCCAACAAAATGTTAAATCCTTAAACACATTGATTAGATCATTTATTGTCGTATGTCACAGGACAACATTAAGTTTGTTTTTAATGAAGTATCACACTCACTTTGGTCTCCTGTTGACTACGTTTCACAAATTATAGCAATTCATAGGCTGAAGTGCATTTTATTTATCTTTTTGGTGTTTTAAATGTATACATAATAGATGCACAGCACGATTAAATAAAAGTCACAACCCAATAGGTATTAATTCCATGTTTTATAAAACAAACTCTGTGAAACGAAACTTCACCAGCAGTGCTCAATGCATTATACCTCAAAGATAACATCAAAGATAACAAACAGAGCAATAATATTTCTATTTATAAAGAATAACATTTAGTAAGTAACCTAAAACGAATAGTGTACTAAAAGTCCTGCCAAAACGTGAATAAGATGACACACATATTCAAAGGTTGGGAGAAGCAAAAAGAAATAAAATACAGCTTTACTTCATATTATACACAAAAGTAGAGATCAGGAAGATTAAAAAAGAAACACACACACATGCACCTATTTTTGAGAAGCTTGAAGAAAAAATTTCAATTCTTTACAAACGTTAATTTTAAGTGCTTACCTATGCTTGAAAAACTTAATAAAATAATAAAAAGGTGGCAAAATGATATGACTAACTTACAAGGTGGATAATCTACAGAATACGACATCATGAACAAATTTGATAACATATGCATAGCAAGATACAGATGATGTACTCTAAGTGCAAAAGACTGTAGAACAGAACACAGAGTTCATTTCCTGTTAAAATGTATGCATAATAAATAGAAGATAAATATTGGGAATTACAGAAAACTTCTTCAAATGGGAAGAAGAACGAGGGATGAGGGAGGAGAGAAGAAAGCAAGTAAACAGGTTTTTAAAATAGAGAATGGAAGGAAAAATGGAAATAAACATTTTTTAAAAGGGGAAGGAAAAAAGGGTTGAAAGAAGGGGAAGGGAATGGGAAAAAAGAAAAATTAAGATATATTATGTACTGGTACAAATTCCCTATGATTAATGTGATCAATATATATGACAAACACATATTGTTTGTCATAGTATCTATTTGTCTTAGTGTAAAAATAGATGACAACAGATTGGTAATAGGCAACATTTTAAAGATGGTAGGAAGAGGTCAACTTTTATAGTTTAGAATTTTATCTGTCTTGACTTTTAATAAGCATGTGCTATTCCAGAGTTTTGTAATGGTTTAGAAATATCCCCCAAATACCCCATGTATCCAGAGGTAGAGCTTTCCAAAAAATGACTGGATCATGGGAGCACTGCAGTTGAATTGCTGTGGGGCCAGATTGGAGGTGGGTCACCAGGGGGCTAACATGGAGGACATATCACCCTCCCTGGTACCTCACATGTCTCACTGCTTCCTGGCTGCCATGGGATGAACAGCTGCCATTGGCCCAGACCCTTCTCATGACAAAGGCTAAGATGTGCCAAGTGCTTGCCTAGCATCTGGCAAGCCCTGGGTTTTATCCTCAGCACAAACAGAAAATAAAGAGGAAGAGAAGAATGGGGGAAGAGAGAGAAATACAATTATATTTTTGTCCTTACTGAAGATACCACCTAAAGTAATCAGTTATATTTTGTTGAAAAGTTATGTCCAAATGGATAACTTACTCCCTTGTGTTTGCCTTCTGTGTTTCCCTGCCTATCCCCTTTTCTTGTCACTAATTTCTGTGTAATACATAGCCCAACAGTCTCACCTGATGAGCCTCTGCCCCAGGTTAAGTTTTCTAGTCCGGAGCTAAGAAGCCACCTAAATTGTTAATTCTATTTTTTAATAAAATAAGACCTGTAGTATGATGGTTTAGTGTATCACACTTTAAAAATAGCAAGCATAAATATGATTTCTCTTTATGGAGACGATTTCACAAAAAATGGACGATTAACAGAATATAAGCAGTACTTCCTCAAAGTACACTGTCTTTCTTGGAAGATAGAGTAGGTGTCTACTTTGTAATACATATGACTATATATAACAGAATTTTTTTATTGGGGGGATACCATGAATCAAACTAAGGACCTTGCACTTGCCAGGCAGGTCCTAAACAGCTGATCTATATCTCTTCCCCAGAAATTTTTAAAATGAAAATATTACAATGTTCATTAAAAAATTTAAAAAGAATATGACTATACAGAGGTTACTTAGCAAAACCAAAACTCTAGAAACCAAAGAGAGAAAACAAGTAAGATTTGATCACCTTCGCCAATCATTTATAAAGAAAAAAACATGAACAAAGCTAAAGGAATTAAACACCCATCAGGTTCTCCTCCTAGAGACACCAACCTCTGTCTATGCTAGCTTAAGTTCCCTGAACACTAAGTTAATGATGATAATTTGGTTTCTGGTCTAGACTGACCACAGAAAAAATGTTCTGAGCTGCAAATACTCAATTTATGGCCTGCTTCATGATTGTAATGTTACAGTAACAAATTGTCATTCCAGTTTTCATTGCAAAAGAAAATATTCCATTTGATAATATAGCATATTCTCTGCAAGTTTAGAAAAGCTACATAAATGAAGAACCTCTAGGCCCAATAAAGTCACTTGTATTACATCAGCTTTTTCACTTTCTAAGATGTTAGTGGTCGACAGGGCCAGCGAGTGACAATTAGCCCATTTCCAGTGGAGGATCGAGTTATATTTGCATGAACCTGTGAGGATAAAATTACTCACCATAGGGCTTCCTTCCCCTTTCTCACCTCCTTCTCTTGTCACATTCCTCTTCAAACATACACATTGTGCAAGCCCTAACATAAGACATGAGGGAGTTCCAGTGGAGAAGGTGAAGCATGGACATATTCTATTATGAAAAGTAAATCTCCTGTTTCCTCCTTATACCACACCCTCAGGACACAGTCCCACAATGGTAATGCAGAGACAGCTCTGTGTTAAAGACAAGGATGTGAAGCAAAATTAATGTAAAATGAATGAATCAGGGCCAGGTGTGGTGACACACATTTACAATTCCAGCACTCATGAGGCTCAGGCAAGAGGATCGAGAGTTTGAGGCCAGCTCAAGCTACATAATGAGCTCAAGGTCAGCCTAGACAACACAGGAGACCCTGGCTCAAAACAAAACAAAACAAAAACAAATTATATCTCTACTAGATCACATTAGTAGTAGTTATAATCACTACTTTAAAAGTCATACTCAAGAAAACTCAGCAAAACCAGAGAGCCATAAACATAAAATTAGCCCAAATCACATCAATTTACCAAACCCACTTGGAATCTGTTTTCAAACAAAGAAAGTAAAATATGAATTGGGAAAAAAATGCTTCCGGAGACTTGAAGTATTCTGCTTTGGGTGACAATTTTTAACAAACTGAAATCCATCAGTGTAAAATTACCTTTAGCCAAGAGTGGTGGCACATACCTGTAAGCCCAGCACTCAAGAGGCTGGGGCAGGAGGATCACCATGAGTTCGAGGCCAGCCTGTGCTACACAGTAAGTTCAAGGTCAGCCTGAACTACATAGGGAGACCCTGTCCTAAAACAAAACACATTTGGACTGAAATAGACCCTAAAACTGTTAGATGACAATAAAATCAAAATAGCAGGATATCCTGAGTTTTTAGTATCTTCTCTAATAGGAGGATACTACCTCCTCCCAGTTCCCTTGAACTGTGACAATCAGAACACAATCCTAGAATTTTGTACTTCCAAAATAACTGAGAGTAACAACCTCCTATACGGAAATATTGGGACATTTGGGTATGACCCAGGACTGTCCCAAGGAAAGTCCAGCAAGTTAGTCTGGATACTAAAAGATGTTAGATGTGAAAAGTACATGCAGGGCACATAGAGTAGCACATGCTAACACTAAGTCCTCAGTCTCTGCTCAAGTCAGGGGATTCCAAGGGGACCAAGGGGTTCCAAATCATTCTTGGCATCCTAATAACACCCAGGTTCACTTGATAACCACAGTACTGACAATTATTATTCTGTATCAAATGCTCACTGGCACATGACATAGTGTCCTGGAAATTAAATGGTCATGCCATCCCAAAAGAGATGGAAGTACAGAGCAACTATCACCAACTGTCTTCCAGAGAGAAGAAATAGAGACAGAAGTGTGAGTGAAAGAGAAGAAAAATGGAGAGGAAAAAAGGAATGGATGGATGCCAGCCAGGGCTGAGCTTACCACACTGTGACTATTACTAGAAGAAAATTCCTTTTTAGGACAAGTATAAAACTCATTCTGTACCTTAAGTTCAAGAGTTATCTTCATTCTGCTTTCCTTTATCCTACTCTTAAAAGTGGTATCTAATGAGTGTCCATAAATATATAACTTAGTAGAATGACCATATCCAACAACTGTAAGCCAGTCAACCTCCGGTCCTTTTATGTTCTGTAGACACTGCAGTACGTATATGGAGACGTATGAAATCCTGGGGATAAAACTAGATCATAACCAAATGGAAAATTTTACCCTTTCCTGGTCTCATATATAAAGCAAGACATATATATATATATATATATATATATATATATATATATATAATTAGCTCCCCAAAGCAACTTGTTTCCTTGCGTCTGTTATTAGATGAGAGAAAACTTTGTTACATTAATAAATTATTTTAGCAGTTACATTACAGGAATGACAGAAGTCTACACAGTAATCACTCAATAAATGTTAATTTTATTGTTATTATAGTGTCATTTATTAAATGACACTGAAACACGGCAGAATGCTCCAACCAGCAAAGGTCAACCAAAATCTATTAACTCTGAATTCTGAATACTTACATGCTCTCACTTTTCTTAGCTAATAATTGCTAAAATGTTGTATGTACTTCGCATATGTTATCTCACTTAATCCTCATGATAAGCTGCACCTTCACCACTTCAATCCATCTCATTTTGATCTATCTTTTTCACATAGTGCCACTTTGAATCAGTTACCTGCTTCATTTCCAATACTTCATTTTCAAAAATTTCCTAAAAATCAACATTCACTACAGATAATTAAGTACCCAGATGAATAAAAAGTAGGTAGAGTTCACAAATTGTCCTTCTACTCAAAGATAGCTATTGTTACTATGTATGTAACTCCAGAGCTTTTAATGTCATTATAAATAAGATTTCCTATCCCCCAAAATGGAAGCATATTACAAATACTGCTATATCAAACTTACCTTTTTCCCTTAATGTATGATGAATACACTTTCCTAGCAAAATAGATTTCTATTAGCATATATATGTGTGAACATCCCTTAAATTATTTAAATAATCCAGTATGATAGACACTTTAGTTGTTTCTAATTTTTGGCACCATCATGCTGAGGCAAATAGCTTTGTACATACAAACTTTGACCAATTACTTAATTACTCTCTTAAGACACAAGATTTACATATTTTAGGTCTTATGATATATATGACCAAATGGCTACCATCAGGGTTTCAGAGAGTACATTTCTCCACAGTCTAATTGATACTATGCAGCAGAAGAGCAAGCAGGACTTTTCTAAGAAGCCTATTTTCTAGTCAAAAATATTTAATGTATCTGAGTGTTCAATGAGATAGTATTCAAGTATCTTTCCACAACTGGCTTGATTCAGCTTCCCAAATTTATTTGTTCCTATTCTACTCGCTCTCCACTCTATGCAGACTGTTCTGCTGTCATAGGAAAAAGGTTCATACATCAATAGGTTTCTCTCACCATTTCCCCCTCTCAGAGACTGCCTTAACCTTCTCACTCTACTCTGGGCTCACTTTCAATGGCTGTTTGTTCTGTGAAGCTTTAGCTAACTTTCCTATTCTGCAGAGACCTTTGCCTCTTCTGTGGTCTGAGAGCACACATCTGAAAATGAGTGTATGCTCCAGATATTGTTGATTATCTTTTGGTTTGTATGTTCCTTATCTTTCCAACTAGATTATAAACCAAAGGACAAGGATGATTTCTTTCTCCCCTCTTTTTTTTTCTTTCCAACATCAACACACAAGTTTATTGATGATACACAAATAAAATCAATGCAAATAACAAAGTTTACTTAGGACTAATTGGTTCACTGTCACCTATGCAGAGGAAATAGTAAGAATATTTTAATCTAGGCAGCAAGATAAAAAGCAAAAAACATGTTTTCAAAACAAGTAATGATATTCATCCAGCTTAAACCCGAAAATCAACCTGGTTAAATATCAGCATTGATAATACAATATGACATTTATTACTCAAAACTGGCAGCTAAAAGGATTCCTCCACCATATAAACAAGGTTGGGAAAAAGAATACTTTATAGTACATATTGCTTCTAAACTACGAAGTCAAGAAATTATTCCTGGATCTTTGGGAACATATGCTCAGACAGTTTGGACATGAATTTTCCAACTTTTACTTTTACCAAAAAATCATGGTGACTTTCTATTCCCAGAACCTTATCAGCATACACTTGAAATTCTTTTAAAAAGAAAAAGAGCGAGCCTTCACCAAATTGATTCAGAGTAGGTTCATTTTCTTCCCATTTAAAATTGTCATTTAGATTTTCAAAAACAATCAAAAGTTTAAGAATAACCTCTTTGTTCTCCTTCTTATTAAAGAGGGAACCTAGTGAAGATGGTACTTGGGCCCTGAGCAGCTCTCTAGTCATAGCTGGATTTTCGGCCAAATTCAAAAGGAGTTTCAAAACCTGAAGTTTAGTTTCTTCATTTCCAGCTGAAAATAAGCGGAAAAAGTCTGAAATGGAATTAGCAAGCATGTGCTGATACTCATTAGTAACAGTCATATTTGTAAGCAATCTTAGTCCAGCCAGCTGCACAGATGAGTTCAAGCGAGAAGTGATTGTGTCATCACACACTTGATTCATGTATATCTTAAGCCTGCGCTGATTTTCAGCATTCACACTCAGGTTATTTAGGACAATTAAAGCCTTTTCCTTAACAATGGGATCCCGGGTATTGAGAATCTTTGCAACAATTGGGAGACCACCCAGATCACGAATAATATCTCGGTTAAATGCATAAGCAGCATTGTTGCCCAGAGCAATTAAAGCTGCTTCAAGAATATAAGGCTTTTCAGACATCTCAACCAAACAAAGAACTTTCTGTAGTTCTTGAGGGGACAAAATAGTATCATCTGAATTAGGAGAAGCCCGTTTCTGGACAGCCCGGCGTGCCCTGGTAGCCCTGGCCCTTGCCCTGGCTCTAGCTCTGGTTCCTGCCTCCGTTCCAATCCGGGCCCAAGGTGGATACCATACTATACTCTTGCTATCATTACTGTCATCATCATCATCAGACCAGTCATACCTGGCTCCAGTACAGTCCCCAGCATCATCCACATCCCCGGTTCCACCCTCAGCCATTTTCTCCTTGTTCTGTTTTCTTCCTCTAGTCAGTCTATAAATGCAGTAGCAGGCACCAGCCCCAATCACTAGGCCTGCAGTCACCCAGCCTACTTTCCTAACGTAGCCCATGCAATCGTCCCTGACAAGAGCAGGGACCAAGGAAGACAGTAGTCACTCAGGATGCGGGAAGAGCGCAGTGGGCCTGGGTGCAGGACTGTAGAAGTTGATCTTTAGTCACTTCCTGGTCACAACAGCTGAATCTGGAGGTGGATCTAGAAGTGGAGGAAGGAAATATGGTTTGAATTTCTCTTCTCTTTGTGTTGCCCTATGCAGAGTTGCACAGAGGGACAGGAAAATAGTAATTGAATTCGGGTAAGATGCAGATTGTTGACAAAAAGTCCCCCTCATTTCACTCTCTCCCTACCTCCCATCCCACCTCTACCCTAATTATAATGATAATGGAGTCTACAGATTCTGCAGTAGCCTCAGTCATCACAATCTCTGATGTCTCTAGGGAGTAGCACCTTTGCACTAACCTCCTTAAGACAGGCACTTTGCCTCTTCTCTTCTCCGAGATGTGCCACGCCCAACAATCTTTCGGATCTGCAGAAAGACCAGAGTCAGTGAGAACCAAGGTCTTGATGGATTGCGCATTTGCTGCATTCCTGAATTCAAGCTGTTAGATTTTTCTTTTTTAGCAACACTATGCCATCTAAAATGTGTACATGTCCTAGTCTGAAATGGAGGATGCAAGGAAAATAAAATAGGAACCCCTGAATCTATCCAAACCGTGGCTGATTTCCAGCCCCTCCCCCATTCCAGACAGCCCTCATGCCCACACTGACCTCCAAAGATCCTGGGAAACTTGCTCCCTCGCTTCAGACAGTGCCACCTGCCACAGAAGACCTGCAGGATGACAGATAGAAAACATGGGGGACTAAGTGCTGCTGAGGAACGGATAACGAACAAACTATCTGATAGGCTTCCCTGCTGTCATTTCCCCCTCTTCCCTCCTGAGCGTGAGACACACACATACACGCGCACGCACACACACACACACACACACACACACGTAAACACACACTACACGCCATTTCGCCACAGTCCGAGGAGTGTAAGAAACACAAACTCAGACCTGAACTAGATTACCTTCTCTAGTTTTCTCCTGTCTCCACACTCCCCTCTGCTAGTGTCCACACATGATCTTACCCTCAAATCAACCTTCACCGATAAGAGTCAATTTCCTTCCTCTTCTCTTGCCTGGAGTTGTGCTGCAACCTACAGAAAGACTGGCCACCCGGGAGAGGGTTGGACCACCCCCCACCCCGCCCCGCCAGCCACGGAGCCATGGTTGAAAAGACAAAAAACAGGCGATACACTACTGAGTGTTTGGTGACCAGTCCCGGGAGATCAAAACTCTTTCCTAATTTAGAGGCCTTGTTGTCAAAGGTTTCCCACCTCCGTTACTCTGTTACCCTCTGGAGTTCTGTAGACACATCGCATTGCACCCCACCATCCCCGCCCCCTTGTCCAGCCTTTCTCCTCCGGGAGTGCACTAGCAGACTGGGAGACAACAGCCAGGCCACATTTCCCTTTTCCAGATTCAGGGCCTTGGTTTCCAGAAGATTTCCAACTCTGTATTTCTGGACTCCTCCCCACACATCTCCCTGCTCACCGTTCCACAGCTTTGAAAGGGGCTGCAGGAGGGACAAACGTCTTGGAAAGAGGGCAGCGAGTGGAAGAGTCGACAGAGGCGCCTCAGGACCCGCGACGGTCTCCGCCCAACACCCTCCGCCACCCCCACTTTGTGGAATCTCCCAGGCACTGACCTGCAGGGATCCGGGCCAATTTCCTTCTCCTCCTCCTTCTTCCTTCTGCGACAAGCCCACCTACCCTCTGGGCAATTGGGAGCTGGTACTCAAATGGGAAAAACGATCAGGACAAGAAGGACTTCTGCACACGTCAGCTCTTTGTCACGTGAGATCTACGTCATCCACCAACTCGGGTCCCCAATTTCCCCTCCCACTAGCAGTGCGGCAGAAGAGGGCCCGCCCCGCTCCCTTCCCTTCCCCAAGCTGGGCCTTGTTATTCATTCTTCGTGGTTAATCCCGTCTCCTTGTAGTTGTGTTTCCCTTCCTCTGATTACCAGAAAGGGATAGTATCTTCCCCAGGGGCCACTGGCCACTTGCACTTTTGTGAAAAACTGACTTTTCCTTTCCTAGACTCCTGGGATATCAGCCTCTCCCTACACCACTCCTCCTCAGTTATTAATGTCTGTGTTTCCCCTGAAATCCAGTCCTAGATCTGAAATGAACAAGAAGTCGGAAAGGAAAACCTAAAGTGAATGTGTTTTCACTTTAATACTTTGTCTTTTTGCACTACCTTCTTCCACACCTAGCCTGCATTTTTTTTAATGAGGAAAAATTTATTGTATTTAGCCATTGTATAAAGCCATTTTCGTTTCTGGAAACACAAAAGAGTGGAGGTGGGAGAGTATGTTGGATGATAGCTTCTAAAAGTCCCACTTTTCTCACTTAGAGGAGAGTACTGGCTACTTCACTAAAACCAATCTTAATGTCTTTCGGGGCCTAGCACATAACAAACCCTGAAAGAGCTCATCAGTGTGTCTGAGAATAGGTAAATCTTCAGGCTACGTTGGTCTTCTGAATATGAGAGAGGGACAGATTCTTAACAAGGAGCAGGAAATCAACCTTCAGGAGCCAGTAACAAAAGATTGAATAGAAATCACATGTGTATAGTTGTTATCTGCAAAATAAAAATGCACGTACACTGACCAAGTGAGTGATACACCAAAAAATTATGAAAGACATGAGTACAAATACTGAATAACTGTAAATGAAATATGTATTAAAGAAACACAGAGAACAACACAAAGTTGCCTGAACTTAGTATCTAGCAATTAGTGTGAAACCATTCCACTGATTTATGAGCTCAGTAATTCACTTGAAACATCTTTTAATATAGGAAAGGAATAATTATTTCAGTTAGCCAATTCTGGTTTCAGTTATTTAAAATCAAAGAGCATTAACTAATATACAGTACAAAAACAAATAACAAAACACAAAAAAGTCCTATAGCTTTCCAGAACATGGGATCTTTGTATTAGTTATTTCCTAATCGTTTGGATGTAAGGCTGTTATCTGAATACAAATTTTTAAATCCACAGATAATACATAAGTAAATTCAGAGACCTGGGAGTTTGAGAAGAGACAAGTCGCAAAAAAATTCATACGGATTTAACTTCTGGGAGGCAGTACTGAAACATAATTGAAATTTAGCAAACAGAAACCAATCAACTTTTGATTCTGTGTTTCGAAGAGTTGAGAAAGTATTGGTAGTTGCCATTCAATCTCTATGTGAAGGAAAGGAAGATACTGCCTAAGATGAATCCAGTATTTTAGCTTTCCTGTGCAGAATCACTGCCATCATGTGTGAGAGTTATTCAAGCTTCCACAGCTAAAGGCCACTTTTCAAGGGGCATGAATGCTATTGCCCTGATTGTAGGTTCACCAAGCAGCTTTCTGAGGTTACAGTTTGCTAAATAGTATCTTGCCTATAGGAAGAAAATGAGCAGGAAAGAATGACCAAAACCTCTAATACACCTAACAGTTGTATTTCTCAGGGTAAATTATTCTGATATTGAAATAAAAATTTGTTAAAACTTAACTTTTCTTGTCATCTAACAGAGAAACAATATACACACACACATGGGTTTAAGCATTCTGTTCTAGATTTACATGTCCCTATAATAATAATAACATCTGCTCTTGTTGTATACAAAAAAATCAGGGCTAGAAGGGAAGTGGAAAGGAAAAGTAGGTAAAAAAAATTAAAAATCTGCCATGTGCATAAATCAAATCTCCACAATGAATGTAATCATTACATATTACAAACATGACTGAATAAAAAGCACTTTTTAAAGTCAGGGCTGGACCATTCAATGCTGGAAAAGAAACTCTGAACAGTAGATGCAACCTTGTGGTGTTCTACTGGGGAAGCCGGATGGTTTTTGATTCAAAGGGCAACCTTATGCATTGCTTTTTCACATCTTTTTCTAACGTTCAGTTAATAAGGAAAACGGAGCTAACGTGTGCTGTAGCACATATGTCCCCAGCATGTCAGTCACAGCTAGACAGAGTTAATAACTTAAAGGGCCTCTACAGATCAACAATATCTGAAACTATTTACATCTCTCTGGGAAAAGAAAGGTAGTGCATTTTATAATTTCTGTATCTGTGTTTCTTTAGGCAAAGGGTGGATACTGCCCAAACCATACCAAAGCTTCTCTTACTAAAATATGCATCTTGATCAGAGAGTTAAAATATTGACAATCAGTAGACTTATGGCATCCTGAAAGAGATTCTTTCAGTTTCTCCTAGACAGCTGACCCTGATCTTCAGCATACCCTCTTCTTAACCAGGTTTGGTTCTGTTGCTTGCAATCTGAAAACCTTACAAAAACAAATAATGCAATACAATAAGTAACTTAACTTTTCAAGATAAAAAAACCTTCTGTAATTTATTTTTGTCGCTCTTCACAATTCTATTAGTGTTACTATTCACTATTTTCAGGTACTTTGTAAGTCACAAATCCAATGTCCCCACAAATCGATTTAAGCCAAAGGTTTCATTTAGCAGTGGCTTTGCAGTATTTAGCAGCCTCAAGAACTTTTTTTTTTTTTTTTTTTGTCTTTTATCGGCACCAGGGATTAAACTCAGGACTGCCTGCTTGCAAGGCAGGCGCTTATGCCACTGAGCTAAATCCCCAGCCCCCAGCCTCAAGAACTTTTAACAGGCTTGTCTGAGGATTTATTTAAGCATTTTCCTTTCAGATGGTATGTCAAGCATATGACATGTCTTTAAATACATAGTTGTTGGTGAATGTAAAAGTGGAGCAAAGTAGTTTTTAAATGTTAGATTCCAAGTTCCTTCATAAGAATTGAGGATCAGGGACTGGGGATTTAGCTCAGCGGCATAAGCTCCTGCCTTGCAAGCAGGCGGTGGTGAGTTCGATCCCCGGTACCGATTAAAAAAAAAAGGGAAAAGGAAAAAAAAAATTGGGGGCTGGGGATTTAGTTCAGCGGCATAAGCACCTGCCTTGCAAGCAGGCGGTCATGAGTTTGATCCCTGGTACCAATAAAAATGAAAAAGACAAAAAAAAAAAAAAGAATTGACGATCAGAGTGATAAAGAGGTAAAAGAACTAAAAAGGTTATCATGACTAACAAATTTAGGAAAATTGGATTCAAACCAGGAGGACTCATAGATACTGAATTACAAACCAGATGATTGCAGGATATATGAAAGGAGGGAATACTTTTCTCTGGCAAGGAGAGGCAGGAATATGTTGTCTTTAAGGTTTGGCTAAATTTTGCAAATATCAGTCTATATTGTGTAGGACACCAAAGCATTTGTCTTTGTTAAGCTTTACATATTCTTTGATTCAGTATATATGTTCATACAAAAAAGTCACTTACATAAACACCAGGTGCCAAAACTAAATGATTAACAGTTGAACCTAAGTATTCCATTAGTAAGGCATCAGACATGCAATGCATTTGTCTGAGAGAAGTATGTAAAGTATCAAGAAAAGAACAGTAAAAGGGAATAATAGGAAGAACAATGAGGAAGAGATTTAGAGAGGTGGAGTATGTTATTGGATGAGTTTGGACTAGAAACTTTGGGAAAACTTGAAAGTTGCAACACTTCTTCACTTTAATATTTACTAGCAAGACATTAAGGGCTCTCTGGCTCCCCTCCAGTGAGGGCCTCCTCCACTGGGCCCCTGGCAGAGCCTCCAGCCTGCCTAAGTGTCATATTTCAGCATTCTAAGAAAGAGGCTGCCTGAACAGTCTATATTTAGAGTATGACTCCCAAGCCAGTACAAGTGGGTGTCCGGGGGCTAACCTCTGCATGCTTATCCCTGAGTTCTGGGAAAATGATTCTGAGGGACTTGATTGCTTGAGATCCTATACCTCCTCCTCCCTCTTGTGAGGGGAAAGTGGTAAGGACATCCAAGGACATTGCAGCAACTCACAGTCATCCACAGACCCTCATTGCCACTACCACTGGAGAATGTAAACACTGTTCATTTCTATGGTAACAGATAACACAGGAATGGCAGATACTGAGGAGATCTTACCAATACCACGAATAAAAGATTCTCCCCATTAACAGGGAATTCTCTAATTTCTACATGATTTACAGGTTACATCGTGAAACTTGAGAACAGATTTTAAAATAAAGTGCTTAAATGAAAGGCAGACTAGTATGTGAAGCTAGTAATTTGTAAAGTTCATCTGAAGTTGTAAGATTCATCTGAAGATAGGGTCTACAAGAAATCCTTCCTTTGAAGGCAGAATGAAAGCCATCCAGCAGCCTTCCACAAAATCTCAGTTGAGTAACAGTTAATATTATGAGTTCAGCCAGAAGGAAGAAAGGGACAGTGGTCTTTTATTCATCTAAAATAGTCTCCATTAGAATACTGACCTCATGAAAATTAATTTATCTGTCAATTTGTAAATCACATTGAGAATTCACTGGTTTTGTTTATAAAGATAGTTTTTAAACTTTAATATGCTCTTTTAAACCTGTTATTTAGAGAAAAGAATTTTCAGTGTGGTACAGATTAAGTTTGCCAAGCCGGTGAGGCATTCTTATTAATCAGAAAATAAGACTGATAATTCCTTTTTTCTCCAAGTGAAAATAGTTTTTTTTTTATCTTGTATTTTATGATTACAAAATAGTGCATGTAACTTGAATCTGTAAAAACGTTGGGAAGAAACAGAACCTTAATGGATCAAAAATGTTAGTAAAAATCTCCCTACTACCCAGTCTTCCTTTTCTGCTCCCTCTCCCCAAATTTGGTGCAGAGACTGAAAATGGAACATGGGTAGAAATTAAGGAAGAAGGTGCAGGAGTTTCAAAGCCAAGGAAAGGATAAGACAATTCTCTAAGAAGTGTAACTGCACGGTAAACCAAGGAAAAGATGCTAGCCGTTCCTCTAATTACAGAAAGTCAAATTCAACACCAGAGAGATACGGTCACCTCTGGTTTCTGGTGTTCTCACAGAGGAAAAGACTGACTGGGCGCAGTGAAAGTGGGGGAGGTAGAGGGCATGACGGAGCCTGCCACTCAGCTTCGGGGAGTGGAAATTGGGAGGGAGGGCAGATCTGACCCGTGACGCGGGGTGTCACGTGATCGAGTCTCCTGGAGTAGAAGTCGCGCCAGTCGCCACTGTCTGGGTACCAGCCCCCTTTTACTCTGCAGGCATGTGAAGAAGAAGAAAACTAGCTCGGATCACACAGGTCGGTGCAAGTGAGGGTCGGCGCTGCTTTGAAAGAAGTGAGGGTGGGAAAGAGCGCTGCGGGTTCAAGTCTAGGCAGACTGGGAGCTGTATTCTTATCTCTTCGACTTTTTAAATGCCTTCCCGCATAGCTACTGCCACCCCCATCCCCACTCCACTCCTTCATTTTACTGGAAAGTATTGGCGGGCTCCGGGGGGCGAAGCGGTTAGTAGAATGAATGGTGCTTACAGAGAATCCAAGGAAAGAAAGATTCCACAACCTAGGCACCGTGTCCTGGGTGTTGGTCAGTCCACCAAGCACTCCCTTTCCTCAGTCTCCGGTCTGCTGCAGATCTGTAGATCGCGGCGCAGATCTTGACGACAGAAAGAGCAAATTGCTTTGGTTGGAACTGTGGAGGGCCCTGTGAAGGTGGGATTAGCCCGGAAGCTTGGGCATGGGTGGCAGAGAAGGCAGCTGGGAGTTGTGCTGGCCAAGCCTGAGTCGCCCTCTCCAGGCCCCTTCTTACTCCACACCCCCTCCCATTTCAATGCAGGGAAAGGGGTGTGGCAGCCTTTGCTGGAAAATGGCGGTCGAAGGGGGTAGGAGAAGCCCTGGTTAGAAAAGTATAGAAGATCTGGGAAATACTTTAAACCCAAAGGCCTAAAATTCAGCAAAGCTTACTTGGGAACACGTGTGCTCAGTGAGAATTCAGCCGCTACACATTGAGTTTTCCCTTGCCACCTAATTCTCTGTTTCTTCTTTGCCAGACTATCTTCAATGAAGAGGGAACAGTGAGAGCAGAAACAAGGGAAGAAAGAGAATCCACCTGACTTTGTTAAAGGTTGGTTGGAGAAACAGTATGTAAATATTGGAGGATAGAGATACTGGAGTGAAGGAAAAATCAACTTAAGGTGTAGATTTCTCACAGCCTCATTATCACAGAGAGCACAATTCTATTTCTTGCCCTTCCCTGAGGGTCACTGAAGAAAAATCATGGATCCTTAGAGTAGATGGCAGAGGCACAAAAGAACAAGCAAACACTTTCCTAATAATCCAAATTATATAACCAGCACACAAACTTGAATTTGTCTGCCCAAGCAAAAACCCTTGGCATAATCCAATGTCCCTAACACTCTTTCTCACCCACAGATTCATACATAGAATTACAGAAACCTAGCAAAGGCAGAAGACTACTACCCTGCACAACTCATTCTGTCACTAAGAGACTTCTTCAATCAGGTGGAGCAAGGCACTCGCCCATCTTGTCCCAAGACTGGCACAAACTTAATCATGGGCCGGGCCCGGGAATTGGGTTGGATGGCAGCAGGACTCATGATAGGGGCTGGTGCCTGCTACTGTGTTTATAAACTGACTCTAGGAAAGGATGATGATGACAACTCTGAGGAGGAAGAAGATGAATGGGGGGATGACCAAGAACTGGATGAGGAAGAGCCCAAGATTTGGTTTGATTTCACAACTATGGCTCGACCCTGGAATAAGAACAGGGATTGGACAAAACCTGGGGCCCCAGATGGCACTGAGGACAGGCCCTCAGGGGGAGGAAAGGCAAACAGAGCACACCCAATGAAACAGCGGCCATTTCCCTATGACCATAAAAACACGTGGAGTCCTCAAGTATTTAAAAAAATCAGTCGTGTTCTTGAGCTGTCCAAGTGTCCTTGCAATGCGGGAAAATTGTGCGCTGAGCCCAAGGATGCTGTTTCTTCACGTGGCTACGATGTCAGTAGACATTTAGCCTGCCTATCAATCACCAGAAGCACAAGCCCCACTCCCCACCCCACTGTTCAGAAAAAGGCTTGGTGTGCCCCTGATAACCTGAATGGCAGTATTGAAAATCAGGGCCAGATTAAGATGTACACTGATGAAGTGTGTCAGGAGACTGTGTCACCTTGCAGAGACTCATTACTGCAGCAGGACGGATTAAATTTGTTAATAAGCATGACAGTTATTAATAACATGCTTGCCAAGTCCTTTTCAGACTTGCAGTTTCCTTTGATATCCAAGGGAAGTGGATGTGCTAAGGTTCAGGTTTTGCAACTGCTGATGGGTTTGTCTGAAAAGCCAGCCTTGGCGGGGGAGCTGCTGGGTGCCCAAGTGCTGTTCCCATTCATGATAAACAGAAGCGGAAGTAGAGGAATTCTGCTGGAAACGCTGGCCCCTTAAGTGTCCATTTGGAGCAGGGGACTGAATGGCCCCTAAACACCCTTTGGTTTGCAGATGTCAAAGAATCCACACTGGGTGTTACTGAAGAGTCAGCCTTGGCCAGTCACCAGGCACTGGATGAATGTTCCAGTCTCTAAATCAAGGACTACACTCTCATTGGCCAGACAGGGGTTCCCACAGCGCTTTGGGTAACTTCTGGGTTTTGCAGTCTGCAGGCAAAGGGCACTGAAAATTACTTACTCCCTTGTAGCCTTCTTCAGGCTGTAAACAGGTTGGGTTGCTATAGCCTGCCAGCTGTGGCTAAAGAACATCAAGTTACAGCATCAGGAGTGCAACTATTGCCTCGGGTGGTTTCCCTGTCTAAACAGGACCACTTCACAGAGACCAGATTCATACAGGGAGCTTGTGCTGTAAGTGCGTTTGCTGCTGCTTAGATTGAAGCGTTTTTCCTTTACTCTTTTTCTGACACCAGCTGATGGATGACAATGAATCTGCTCATCCAAAAAGTGCACTCCCTTCTATCCATACTACTGACTTAACCTCCTCCCCCAAAGTCTGCATCGGTGTGTATTATCAATAAACTTGTGTGGTTTGACTGGCAAAACGAAGACATGGTCCTTGTCGTTGAGTTTACAGTCTGCACAAAGACAAAGACAAAAATGCACAATAAACGCCAGCTGACTGGGGAGTTTGCTTCCTGTCAGATGCACCCTCATCAGTGATCACAGGAAACCAGGGCAGAAAGGGGCTTCAGTGTTTAAAATAAACGTCAAGAGAGGCACTAGGGGTAGGGGTGACAGGCTAGGGGGTGGGGCGTGGGGGCTGGCAGAATTAAGTTGCAATGCTGAGAGAATTGGAGGAGACAATACCCTTGAAGCAGGTACCTCCTGATAAAGGTATCTCCTTGACTGCCAGCTTGGGGAGGAAGGCCAGTGTCCTTGAGGTTTATCTTTGGCAGTCCTTGGTTGCAGGGTGAAGGTGCGGTGGGGGGGAGGGCGGTGCTGGGGGGCCTACAGGGTGGATCTCTGTCATGCTTCCCTGCACATGTAGTATGTAATTAGCACAATAAAGATGACCTCTGGCCCAAGCTACCTGATCTAGTTCTACCTCTCCTGTGAAGCTGCTGTTAAACCCACTTCTAGTCCTCCTCCCTGCCTTGGGATACCAGGCACTACTTCCTGGCAGAGTGAAAGGGTTTGCAGCTGTTTCTTGTGGGGCAATTTACTTCTTTCCCAACTTCCCCTGTACACTGGGTGGAACTCAGGAAGAGGATGGTGGAGTCCTGCGTGAACTCCCCAGGGAGGGGTAGCAGGACAGATGCTCAGGGTGCCTAGCACAATCCACTGACCAGCCTGGCCCAGGGATCCATCCATCCAAAGATATCTCTGCACCCTCCCTCTGAGGTCCTGGCACCCTCGAGAGGAAAGGAAGCACCCTAGTGTGCCAAAGCGTGGATCCACCGGTCTGGCCTACTCATTCTTCCCCACCCTCCAGAACATTTCCCAACCCCTCCCAGAGTCTTAGCTTCTGCCTCACCAAGGCCAGGCTCCTTAGGTGTCTGCGATGTCTCAAGCAGTGGTCTCCTTTCTCAAAGCCATGACAGGGTCACTAACCATCTGCTTTCCTTGTGCGGTGCTGCTCCTGTGCCAGGTGCCCTCTCCTGGTCAGTCTCCCTGGGATACTGCAGTGCATCACCATGCCCTGGGGAGCAGTGGTCTGTCTGCACAATGCCCGGCCTTCAGCTTCTTCTCTTCTACATAAAACATGATTTTCTTCCCAGTTCGCCTTCTCTCTTCCCCCAAGAGCTTTGGTTGCAAGTAAGTTTCTTGCTTGTACAGTGTGGCTCCTGCTGCATACTGTCCTACAGGCCTGGGAGACTTCCAGGCCCCCCAAAGAACTCTGGGAAGGCCTCTGACCAAGAATGGAGGCACTGCATTTGCCCAGGCCCTAAGGGCTCGGATGGCCAGTAAATGACCTGTGGTCACTGCCACAACACACCCCCATCGAGGCTCACCCTGCTGGGGTGCCCTTGACTGGCTCTGGGACCTGGTCTTGTTTTGCAACAGCTGCCAGAGGAACCACTCTTCTCTCTCAGGCGAACTGCAGTCTGGCTGGGCAATCTGTTTTTCAAAGATGTCTCTGCAGACAGCTCCAGCATCCTCCTTTGCCAGTCCAGCCTGCCTTGCCAGTGCTGTCTTCAGTGACACCTCATTGCTCAGCCTCTTTTAATCTTAGCACAGAGGCAGAGGCTGCTGTCCTTTTTCCTAGCTTGTGGCCCAAATTAGCATGCACCTCCATACTCCCCTGCACACTCCTGATCTCCAGTTTTCTGTTTGTGTACCGTTGTCCAGCTTCTCTTGGGTACTTGACACTTTAAGGCCGGCCACAGCTGACTCCTAACTCAGAGAGGGCTTTGGAGGCTTCCTGCCCATCTCCGGAGCAGCTCTGTCACAGGGAAGCCTGGCAGCATTGAGGGGCCTCCACTGCGGGGTCTTAGCTCATGTCAAAACCCTCCTGTCCATTTGCTAGCACTGCCCTTCCCAAAGCGCTACCCTCCCGAAAACACTGCCCCGTATCCCTTGACTGTCTGTGGTGGTACCATGTTGGAGCCCATTTCCCTGCAGGTTCTCCCCTGCAGCAGGTGTATGCAGGGGAGTGGGAAGCGTTCATGCCACCCAGGCCCTGCTGAAGACCCCGAGAGGCCCTCAGCCCTGGCAAGAGCACTTGTTGCACAGATCCTACAGGCGATGCAACGTAAATTAAGAACAGGTCTGAACCGCAAATCTCCAAACTCACCTGTCTGCTGCAACTATCAGGTAGCCTTTTCTGAGTTTCTCATGGCAAACACTGGACAAGATCATCCATGCTGGGCTTGTCCCATTCTGTGGAGGGATGCCCTGCCTTGAAGGTGCAGCCCCAGCCTGAGCTGTCTCTTCTGTAAGCCCAGGACTCATGCCACAGAGTGCTTTTCAGTTCCGCAGAGGGCCTTGGCTTTGCTTCTTGTTTATCTCATCAGCTCCTTTCCACTTGCTCCATGAGAGTACTGGCTTCCGCACTAACTCCTGCACCCTTCCCAGCCTGCCTTCCCCACCCCCACCGTCCGTGGTGGTGCCAGGGGATCCTGTAGTTGAAGAAACTCTTCCACCCTCTCTCTGTAAGTGATTCGGGGTTGCAGACATCTAGCTTCCCTGTGTGCCCATTCAGTCTTAAACCCTGCATCCTTGCTGGAGCCCTATATGTCACTCTCAAAGCAGTCTCCACCTCAACCAATTCCTCTCAAGTGCCACCCAAGGGTCAGCACAGCCCTCACCAAGTCAGTCTCTGTGCCTTGGCACTGTGAGCTGCAAGGTGAGTAGCAGTGGGCAAGATTTGCTCCTCCCTCCCTCCCAAAGGACACTGAGAGGTCCAAAATGCAGAAGGGTGTTGCACCAGAGCCCAACAGACGTCTGCCAATGTTGCCTGTCTCAGTTACTTTTCTCTCTCCTTGCTGAGACAAAATATCTGACACCCAAATTTAGAGAAGGAAAGGTCTATTTTTCACAGGTTGAAAGTTCCAGTCTGTACTCAGTTGGCTCCAGGTGGCAGGGTAGCATGGCAGGCCACAGCAAACAGCAAGCTGGAAGCGGGCAAGAGAGAGACACACCTTCTCCCTACCTGTACATTGGTACATTGTATGCTGGCTGCACCCCTAGGTGGGTGTAGCCCTCACACCACCAACCCAAGCGCTAGACAATAGACCAATCACAAATGCTAGGTTGGGTCACTTCCATGATTGCATGAGGCTTGGGGTGGGGCCACAAGAACACAAACCATAACTTTGCCTCACTCCCTGCCTGCTTTGATTGCTGCATGTGTCTGCTCCAAGTCTGTTACATTCCTCCCCACCTTGCTCCTGGCCTCCTTTTCACCTGGAAGTTTAATTCTCCCTGACTGTCTGTTTTTCTGTGGGTGGTTTAGGATGGCCTCCCCCACTCTCTGATTACTAAAAGAGCCTCCTTTTCAGTTTCCCGGTTCTTTCATAACTTCCTGTGTCAGGCTTGGTCTCACAGACAGGCTGCTCGTTACTTTTAAGCAAGATGGGTGATCGTGATGTGATTTGCCTACTTTGCCCAAACAGGTAATCAGTGAGCCCAGCACCACTAGTTGTGTACTTGATTCTTGTGCTACTGTGGGACACATTGTGGCATCCTCATGCACCTAGGCCCAGTGTCCCCTCTGTGGCCCCCTGGCACTGAAGTCCCTCCAGAAGCGGACTCTTCCCTCCCAAGAAAATCTAGTAGAGTTGAGGAGCTTCAGCTCACTGGGTAAACTAAGGCAGGCGGTGTGTGTGTGTTTGGAGGGGAGGGCATCGCTGGTGCTTGTGAGCAGGTCTCTGCCCCAGGTACCTTCCCAGGACGTAATCCAACCCACAGGAAGCTTAGGAACCCTCATCCTGACAATTTGAGCACCATGAGGAATGACCTTTGTTCTCTTTCCCTTTCCATATATGTGCAGGACAGAACCACATTTACAATATTGTGATTTGTGTCCTCTATGACTTCTGTTCAGATGTCACCCCAAAGCCTCCTACCGGCATACCTTGGGTTTTTATATTTGGATGCATCTATAGGGTGTGATTGATTCATGGTGCAATGCAAAATTATAGGTGCTCTAATTAAGGGTTGGTGAATATGAAATCAGTCCACAAATTGATTTGTCATGACTTAATTCTGGTATCCTCAATAGAGTATAAGAGACGGAATGAAGCTTTCTTTTCACTTGCTTGTTTGAATTGGCCATGAAGTTTTTCTCCTCTTCCACAGTTCCTTGTGGCCAGAGAAGTGGGCACTGAAACCTCTGAAAACTGTGAGCTAAATAATTCTTTTTCCCTTTAAGTTTGTGTGTTGAATATTTTATCTCAGCAACAAGAGGAATATAACTAAGATAGAATTTAGTATCAGAGAAGTAGAGTCATTTGCTGTGACTATAGCTTACCATGTAGTTCAGCAGCCTTTGGGAATGTCTTATGTTAAGCATTGAGAAATATTCAGAGATGGTGAGTCAAAAAGTAGAGTTGGAATGCTTTCGGCTATGCTTAATGAGAGATTCTTGTCAGAGCTAAGATGACCAGAGACTGACAGAAATTCCACTGATAAAGACCCAGCTCAGCAGGTTTCTGTTGGGAAGAACTCCAGTGGCTATTGGACTCCAGACAATGTGTGTTATGTCATTACAAAGAGTTTGCCCGCATTTTGCTCAGGTTGAGAGACTTTGCCTGAAACTTAGATTAAGGGCAGTGCACTATTAATCTTGCAGAAAAAATTTCAAAGCAATGTAATGTTCAGGCAGTGGCATGGCTTTTGTTGGGGCATTTTAGTCAGATGTATATTGTGAATTAAGGGCATAGAGTCCAACAGAATGATTTAAAGTATTTTGAGTTTGGCCAGAAAAGAAGTTCCAGTAGAATAACTCAAATGCCCATCAACCAATGAATGAGTGAAAGAAGATGTGGTTTTTTTTTTTTTTAATATATATATAACGGAATGTTACTCAAGATAGAATTGAGATGTGTGTGGTTAAATGGATGAGACCATAATCATGAGTGAAATAAATGGGACACACATGTGTA